ATATATATATATATATATATATATACTGTAGTTGTGTATTCTCTTGTTTGGTAAATTTATCAACCTTCATTGTTTAGAAATGTTGGTAAGCTTTTTATTTGGTAAAGCTGTAAAAGTCCCTCTTAAGTTTTTTTTTCTTGTACATATGTATGTAAAATTTGGACAGTGGCTTCAAATTTTTAATACCTATATCTCTAAAAAGGTGAACAACAACATGCACATTTCGAGTATTACCAGTAAAGTTTTGTAATCTGTACAAGATGGTGAAGTCTTTAAAATATATAATTTGAAAGACATATTGACTGAAGCCTTTTTTAAAGCTGACACCAGTACTTTAGTTAAGCATGTAATCAATCCCATATTGAATATATATATTATATATATACAAGATTAATGATTTGTTTTTGCATTCAAGCAATAAAAAAGTAATCACTTAGACTTTGCATAGGATAATTGTAAGTAGTTATGAAGTTTATATAAGAATATCCCTTAATAATTTAACATGCTTAAATAGCACAAATAGTATGTCAAAAAAGTAAAATTAACATTTTAACTAACACTGATAATATACTGTATTTAGTGACACTTTATTTTATTGTTAATCACACATCTATTAAATATTGACCCAGCATATGGCCAGTTGGTTAGGGTGCTTCACTTGCAATTTCTTGTTTGCTGGATCAGAACCCAGCACTGAGCATGCTTGCCCTTTCAACTGTGGGGGAATTGTAATAATGAGATGGTCGATCCCACTATTTGTTGATAAAGAGTAGCCCAAATGTTGGTGGTTGGTGCTGCCAGCTGGTTGCTTTTCCTGTTGTTGGCAGTTCAAAATTAGGGACAGCAGCAGAGAGCTTTAGTAACTGCCATAAATAACCAAACAAACAACTACTTAGATATTAAACTGTATAAATTTTGTGTTTTTGTTCATTTCAAATTTTCAAGTTAGTGTATGTTACCATTAGAAATAAACAACTGATAAAGTAAAGGTAATTTACTAAGATTAGTGTTGATATCATTTTATGGGTAGTTTTTAATTGAATGGAATTCTAGTTTACATATGTATTCCTAACTTATTAATTAAAGGTATTTTATTAATAGTTGTAGATTAAACCTTAATTATTTGCCTAAAATTCTCGTACATAATTTTTTACAAAAGGCAACAAATGTATTACTAGCTTTATTCGCAGGGTGGAGATATGTTTACTAGATAAAAATTTTATGCATTCAGTTATGTCTTTGTTTCATAACTTGTTCATATATTGTTGTTGTAAATAGTGACCTTTTCTAAGTATTTCTTATATTTATAGATTATCTCTTCAGCTTTCTTTTTGTGTTCTTTATCATGTTTCACATTTGTTATTGTTTTCTTCATTTATCCTTCTATTTAAAACAGAACACAATTTCCAGAGAAATATAAATGACTGTATTTATGGTTCTGCATAGACATGATATTTCACTCATCTATATCTTTACTTTACCTTTAGTTTATGAGATTTAATTTGTAATTTCAATATTCAGCATGCAAATATTCATACTGTAAATGAGAATTAAGTTTTGTTGAAAGGTGGTAGTGAAAGATTTAAAGTGAGCAAATAAACATGTTTGTAGAATAAACAAACTTTAATGTAACATAAAAGTATACCTTGCATAATTTTAGAATTTAAGTCTGTTGTGTGTAAAATATATCATCACCATATTATAACATTGTTGCATTTATTTGGCTCTTTTTTTTATTTAATATGCTAAGTTTATTTAAAATACTAAATTTACATAAGACTTGAAAATGGGGAAGTGGAGGTGGATGTAACAAGATAAAGCTCAAGAAATGTTCCTTTCTCCAAGGAGCAGTGGTGTATTAACGGTAAAATTGGAGATAATCATCGTGATTTCTAGTAGGTAACACTGTTTGGTAAGACCTGTCATTTATTTAGATATATAATTTTTTTAGTGTATAGACTGTTTAGTTTTTGAGGAAAATCTTGGTCTGTTATCTAAATTTTTTGTTGCATGTTGTGTACTTGTGTACAATGTTTCTGAAGCCCTGCTCATCAGTTATGCTAATGTAACTATGAGTTCTTAAGCTCTGTCTCATTCTTAGCATAAAGCTTTAAGTTGCTTGACAGTTTAATCTTTTGAAATTCCTTTATTGTTATTGATCATGTATTTATGTATTAGTACATAGTTATTCTGATGGAAATTAATCTTACAGACGTGTAAACAGAAATGATAATAATATTGTACCAATACTTTTTTGTCAGTATGATAGATTTTCTTTAACCCTTTCCAGATGGATCATGGGTCAAAGGCCATGTCATCGCATTTGTTGACTCGCATTAAAAATTTTATTGAACTACTGTTTCATAAATTTATGTCAACAATTTTGGTATCAAAATGTAGATTATAATTAAAATTCTAGTATTATACATTATTTAATTTCTTAATTTTAAAGTAAATATTAAAAAACACACACCTAAACATTGATTTTTGTGTGTCACTTGATATGTTGAATGCAGCATTGGTTCAAATTGGATGTTTATGATGTCAAAATGTAAAGTCTATAGTTTGGTACGATTTAGGAAATCAAATTACTGATATTAACATGCAATATTATAAAATAAGAACCTCCTACCTTTTCTATTTGCTGTGATACCCTCATGTACTGAATCAAACACAGTGGCCCCACTCACCTCTTTCCATATATATATGCTTACTTCTGTATATGATATGTGAATATCCAATCAAAAGCTCAAGAATGTCCCCCTAATGGCTTTCTCCACCATTTTCAAGTATTATGATGTCATCTCATTCTTTTGATACAAATCTTGATGCTGGTGGTTCTTTAGTCTGCTCGAAATTTCATATTTTTTTAGACCCAAATACAGGTTAATTGCTAAGCTTGATAAAAATATAGTGGAATTCTATGGTATTGATATAGTAATTTATGGTTTTTTTGGTTATTTCAAATGTATATATATAAAACCTAAAAAAAATATTTCATTTCACATCCTCCACATGTGAAATTTTATAAGGCTTAGCAATCTGTGACAAGCAGCAAATGAGTACAAAGGTA